CAAATTTCGAACTCCTTAGGCTGGTGTCCGGTTTCACCAATAAATTTTAAAACTTATCAGACTGAACAAATTTGTCATTTTCAAGTTTTAACAGGCTGATATATTTAAAATTTATTGGTGCAACCGGGCATGAGTTTATATAAAATTTTTGGGTATGTAGTTAGATCTCTTGAAATTTTAGTAAAATAAGTGCAAGTTTTAAGGGGCTAGAAAATCACGTTGATTTCTAATAATTTTCTTCTGACGGCTTTTGCAGTTTTTCCATATAAACAAGAATTTCTTGTGTAGAAAATGTGTTTGCACACAAAATTTGCTCCAGTTTTTATAAATTGCACTTGTTATATGAAAAAAAAACAGCAAAAGCCGTCAGAAGAAAATTATTAGAAATCAACGCGATTTTCTAGCCCCTTAAAACTTGCACTTATTTTACTAAAATTTCATGAGATCCAACTACATACCCATAAATTTTATTAAACACAGTCTAAAAAGCTCGAAATTTTAATAATTTTTTTTTTTAATTTCTCCAACTTCTCTATAAACTTTGAAATCATTGTATATATTTAAAAAAAAACACCATGCACCCGGTTTTGATCGCCAGTGTAGCAGTAATAAGCGAAGTTTTTTGTTTTTGTTTTGTTTGAATGGAATATTTTGTTTTTTTTATTTACGCTATACTTTATTTATTAATACATATGTAATATTACAGTCTAAGATCCGAATAGCGCACGACCTTCACCATTTGTTAATGGATGAAATCTATTTTGTATGGAATTTAACGTGTTAGTAAATATTTCGCGAGTTGGTTGGCAGAAAAAATCCTGGCCAAGATATATTTAATAAATTGTTCAATAATTATTATTATTTTTTTTGCACCAACTTGTTTAATGAACAAATTTCATGTATACCAATCGAAAGCATAAAGCCTATAGAATGTGAAAACGTTGGCCAACCCGATAGGTACGGCAGGAATTAAATAGACAACAAATGTTTTAAAATACACACATTCTCACTTTCAAGTAAATTAATTTTCAATAAAAGACTGAAACCTTTTTGAAATAAGTTTTATTAAAGTTAAGTTAACCCTTTCCTTTTGAATTTTTCTTAAAAACTAAAACAACAACAACAACAACATTTTTCGCAATGAATGCAAAGCTTTTTACGCCATTTTTATTGCTTATGTTTTATAAAAATATTTAAATTTCCATAAAAACTTGCAACTTAGACTTATGTACATATATGATTTTTGTTAGATAATTAGCTGTATTTTTATAAAAAAAATAATAAACATTAAACAAACAAAAGAAAAATTGCCAAAACTGTTCAAAATATCGTGTCCCTATTATTTTCCACATGACAATATATATATAGGTTAGCATCTATAATTTTCTAATGGGATGTAAGTTGTATATCAAACTATATATTGTTACCTTAATTCCACACGGCCCTAACCAACACTTTTTTCGAAACCGCGTTTTTCACAGATTTTTGTAGGAGGTATTGAAAGACGCGTTCAGTAAAAAACTGTGGTCAGCGTTACTGGAGTTGGACTTACGATGGCTATTTTTTTATGAAGAAATTACCTCGACGTCGAAGTCGACAACCATAATAGGGCCGATTATAAAAACTATCAAAAACAGGTAGGGCTTTTTAAATAGTGGCTGTAACTCCGTTTTGGTACTTATACTTTAAAATTTTTACTGAACGCGTCTTGTAATACATCCTACAAAAATCTGTGAAAAACGCGGTTTCGAAAAAAGTGTTGGTTAGGGCCTTTGGGAATTAAGGTGACGATATGTGGGTATTCACCAAATTGACCAAGTGGCCTGGCACTCTGGCAAAAGAGTAGAATAGCTCAAGCAACGACTGTGACAAAAGTTGTTGTTTGAGCTAATCTGCTCTTTTGCCAGAGTGCCAGACCACTTGGTCAATTTAGTGAATACCCCTTATAATTTAATTTTTTTGGAGTCGTTTACCATAGCTTCTAGCCCTCCAATTTTTTATTTACATACATATCGATGGCTGAGTGGAAGATCGACCTATTTCGGCAGCCAGTTCGAAAACGCCCTATCTCAGAATTTTATTTAAAAACACCCTCACCCCTATTGCGAGTGTCGACTAGTAGTAGATAAACGACTATTTTTCGATTATCGCTTTTCCATGGTATTGTGAATGTCGATTTATCGTTCAATATGCGACTGTGAATAGTTTTTAGTCGCTCATCCTTCTACAACTGTTTGTTTGTATTGTAAAAGGATGTGCGACTATAAACTATTCCCACTCACTTATTCAACGAGAAAACGACTTTGAAAATACCACGGAGAATCGATAGTCGACTAATAGTCGTTTATCTACTACTAGTCGACACTCGCAATAGGGGTGCCTATCTCAGAATTTGGTTCAAAAACACCCTATTTTAGCTGCCGATTCAAAACTGCTCTATTTCAGCACATTTTCAATGTATTTTCGTTTGAGATATGGCGTTTTGAACCGAATTCTGGGATAGGGTGTTTTTCAATAAAATTCTGAAATAGGGCGTTCTTCAATAAAATTCTGAAGTAGGGCGTTCTTCTTCAATCAAATACTGAAGCAGGGCGTTCTTGAAAAGTTTTCTGAGATAGGGCGTTTTCCAACTGGCTCCCGAGATAGGTCGATCTTCCACTCAGTCATTCATTCATATATCAGTGGCCATGAGCAATAACCGCCTAAGTCGAAAAACCTGATTTCGAGAAAAAATGTTTTAAACATTTGGATTATAATGTTAACCTTATGGGGAAACCAAAATATGTTCGTCTTTAACCTTTTAAATAGGCTGGCTGGCGAGATGGGGATTTCACATACACATGGAGTAGTCGTTGCAGAATACCATAGCATATATAACTCAATTCTTTCTTAAGTCTACTTAGGCGGTTACTGCTTATGACCACAGATATTGTATGTATTATATTCTTCCCGATAAATAATAATAATAAAGTTACATTTGAGCAAAATATGTATCTATTATTGTTTTTCTTGTTTGGTCATTTCGAGAACGTCCTTCATTTGAGCGGTTTGGTGGAACTGTTAAAACATTAGTTACGGCATCATCAATTTCCGGTACAAGTTGTGGTGCAGTTTTATCATTAAAGCGAATGCAAACATTATTCAGTACTGCTGTTGCAACAATAATGTAAGGAACTGTCGTGACCTTCATTCGAATCCCCATGGATAGCACGGGAAATCTGCGCTTCCACACACCGTATGAGCGCTCAATACAATTTCGAGTTCTGATGTGCGACTCATTATACAGATTTTCTGCTCTATTTCTACAATTTAAAAGCGGCGTCAACACGACGTTCGTGTTTTCATAACCACTGTCAGCAACAATGACTGCATTTAGAAATTCCTTCGCCTCCAATCGGTAGCAAATACGCGAATTACGGAAAATCCTTGAGTCATGAACCGATCCTGGCCATCGGGCAACAATGTCTAATATTTTTAAATTGCTATCACATATGGTTTGCACATTGAACGAGAAAAAACCCTTTCTGTTACGAGAGACTTCACCATCATCACCTCCTGTATAGAAATGGTGCTATTACTATTGTTTTTTAACTAGTAATCTTACATAATCACCTGGCGACATGATTTTAACATGGGTGCAATCCATTGCGCCAATTACACGCGGAAAATTTGAAATTTCTTTAAAAGCAGCCTGTGTGCTCAAACGCTCCTGTTCCGTCTGAGGGAGTTTAACAAAATCTGCCCGTAAAGAAGCAATATGATGAGATACAAGTTTAATAGCCCGTGATGCACTTGTTTTTGAAACGCCGCAAAGATCTGCCACAGTTTGCTGAAAAGATCCTGATGCATAGAACCTGAGTGTAATGAAAAACATTTGATGTGGTTGCATAGCGTTGTTGCTGCCAATGGAAAAGTAATTTAGGAAAAAAACATTTACATTCGTCAAATGATATGATCTTACCGTGTTCCAATATAAATTTTTTCTTTTATTAAAGAAAAAATAAACCAAGCAGCATCTTTGCACATACGAAATCGATCACGAAAATCAACATCATCGTAATAATGAAAAAAATCTGGACGTTCTTTTATTTTTCTTTTTCGTCGAAGAACGATTACTTGTAGAACATCAAAATCGAAATCACTTTCATCTGAATCTACAAAATCCATTATTATTTACAAAAATTAACATCTAACACAGAAATATAAACCACTTCAAATAAAGACGCCAAGATTATTATAGCGGGGTTGCTATAGCTGTACAAACGAAATAAGTACTATTTCTTTCATTTACATTGTGCACTACAGCAACACTATCGTAAGTCAAGAATAAGCCAACTAAAGGGTAGGCTAACTTTCGGCT